GGAAACGGGTTCGAACTGGTAACACTTTCCCCAAGTCCTCACAGCTAGAGAGGCATGCTGCCGCTTACCCTGGGGTGGGTCTAAACAAGGATCTAAAAACTGGCTTCCAATTCCAGCCCTGCTACCGCCAGCTGTGTGACCTTATGAGATGCCTCACCTTCCTCCTACCGGGCAAGTGGGATTACAATCTAATACCTCCCACCGGTGTCCAGACATAGTCGGTGCTCAATAAACAGGTGTGGGTTTGCTGTGGTAGAAGAGCGCTATCCCTTAAGTTTCTGACAGTGAGGGGGAAAAAGGCTGAGCAGAAGGGAAAGGGGTAAACTGAGCTCGGCGCAGTTGGGATGCGAAATAGCGAGGGCTTCCTGGAGTCCGGGAATTTGGAGAGGCCAAGGCTGCGAGAGAGGGGAGGTGGCAGGACTAGCGGCTCCGGGGACGGGTGAGGTGTCAGCGCGGCCCGGGGCGGGCGGGGGGTGCGGGGGTCCCAGGGGAGCTTCGTCCCGACCGGCCGCGGGCGGATCGAAGGGAGGGTCGGGCCCCCGGCCGGCCGCTGCCCCTCCTCCCGGGAGGGCGGGCGGCGGCTGCGGGGCGGGGCGCGGGCTCACTCGGCCTCCTGGCGGCGCCGCGGCCCCTGCACTCCAGCCGGGCTCTGCTGGCTGCGGCGCGAGCTGTTCGCGGGAGGCAGCGGTGGCGGTGAGTGAGCTCCGGGCGGCAGCGGGGCGGGTGTGCGCCGGGAGCCGGGCTGCGGGGCCGAGGGGCCGCCCAGGGCGGCGGGACCTCCAGGGGCTCGGGCTCCGCCAGGTGCGCGGCGCTCAGTCTGCGCGCCCGCCCTCCGTGTCCGGCGCCGCGCGGGTCCTCGGGCGGGAAGGTGCGACCCGGACTCGCGCGCCGCGCGGCGCCCCACCGAGGGCAGGCGCAGAACCAATGCGGGCGATCCCGGCGGAACCCGCCTCGGAGCGGGGTGGGAGGGAGGAGGATCTGCAGGACTTCCCTTTCGTGAAGAGGGGCTCCCTGCCCTCTCATCCCTGCCAGCACCCTCCGGCTCGAGTGACAGCTGGGGGACACCCACGCGGAGCAGTCCCCGACCTATCCTCTCGTTCCTAAGCCGTCAGTGTGCCCCGCCGGACCATCTATTGGAAAGAAAGGCGCGTGGCCTCTCTCCGGATCCTCCAAGTGAGGCAGATCGTCCCCGAAAGCCCCCGCCTCACTTGGAGCACACATTCTAGCTCTCCCGGGATTTTCCAAGTTGCATCACTGTTTGGCCTCCAGACAGGTACTTGGCTGTCACGATGGAGTTAGTTACACAGGATTTTTGAAACTTTGTATATTTGCTTTGTGTGTTTTCCCTTCACCCGAAGGCAGCTGCTTTCCTAACTCTGCTTATGCCGCTCAAAACGTTGCTCAAAGCTCGCTGGGAATGCTTTTGCGGGCATTGGTTCTCAAACTTGGCCGCACATCTGGAGAGTTTTAACAAATACTGGTGCTTGTGTCCCACTCCCAGAGGGAGTGGATTCGGCTGACCTGGGTCGCAGCCTGGAGAATAGACTTTTTAAAACGCACCAGGTGATTCTCATGTGTAGGCAAGTTTGAAAACCTCACCTTTGGGGGGTTGCTCCCCCCAGCCACTCTTCGTAAGGCTAAAGATCAGTCCTGATCTGGAACTCATCTCAGGCCCTCTTGACTCTTCCCTAATCTACCTCTCGACCTGAAGAACCTGTTGGTGGGTGCTTTCCAACTTTAGACAGCAGATGGTGCCTTTATTGAAGTTCCCTTTGTTTCTGCCTCTCTGTTTACAGTCAATACTTCCGGGCACTTTCTGCCAAGGAGATGGCAGTGTAGGCATTAGAACCAAGGAGTCCTTGCCAGGGTCAAGGTTATAATACAGGGTTGTCCTATCCAGGGAAAACCAATTGATAATTTGACTTGTCATAATCGGAAATAAGTTCAGATTAAAAGGAGAAAAAATACTTTAGGGTTTGGTCAGCTCTTGGAGACCGCCCCTGAGACTCCCCCACGTAGATAATGGAGTTGCATAAATGCGGGGAATTTTTCAAGAAGCCAAAGCTACCAACATCCTTAAGGTTTTGTGGTTATTTGTGTTAATATAGGTGTGTTTTTGTAGATCAAACTTATTCTGGAAGCATGATCAAGCCCTGTAGACGAAACAGTGTATAACATGACACCTCAGACACCTGTCAAATAAATTAAAAAATGATAGAGAAGTAAGAGAAAGGAAAATGTAGCCATGCTTACATTGGCTGAATTAGATCATATATTTTATTAAGAAAATGTGTTTTCGGCCGGGTGCGGTGGCTCACGTCTGTAATCCCAGCACTTTGGGAGGCCGAGGTGGGTGGATCACAAGGTCAAGAGATCGAGACCATCCTGGTTAACATGGTGAAACCCTGTCTCTACTAAAAATACAAAAAATTAGCTGGGCATGGTGGCGCGTGCCTGTATTCCCAGCTACTCAGGAGGCTGAGGCAGGAGAATTGCTCGAACCCAGGAGGCGGAGGTTGCGGTGAGCCGAGATAGCGCCATTGCACTCCAGCCTGGGTAACAAGAGCGAAACTCTGTCTCAAAAAAAACAAAAATAAAACAACAAGAAAATGTGTTTTCACTGCCCTTGTTAGTAATGTGATCGTCTCCAGGGATTTGGTTAATTTACTTTTGTCCCCAAGTATGATGTTTGTATTAGATTTCTACCCTAATATTGCTACCTGGCCACAGTTAGGTAGTTTTTTTTTTTTGTTTTTTTTTTTTGTTTTTTTTTTTTTTTGAGACGGAGTTTCGCTCTTGTTACCCAGGCTGGAGTGCAATGGCGCGATCTCTGCTCACTGCAACCTCTGCCTGCTGGGTTCAGGCAATTCTCCTGCCTCAGCCTCCTGAGTAGCTGGGATTACGGGCACGCACCACCATGCCCAGCTGATTTTTTGTATTTTTAGTAGAGACGGGGTTTCACCATGTTGACCAGGATGGTCTTGATCTCTTGACCTCGTGATCCACCCGCTTCAGCCTCCCAAAGTGCTGGGATTACAGGCTTGAGCCACTGCGCCCGGCAGTTAGGTAGTTTTAAGTTTTTCTTAAGGGGTGGCCTTCTCTCTCTCTCTCTCTTTCTCTCTCTCTCTCTTTCTCTCTCTCTCTCTCTGTTATTTTGAGACGGAGTTTCACTCTTGTCGCCCAGGCTGGAGTGCAATGGCGAGATCTTGGCTCACAGCAATCTCCACCTCCCTGGTTCAAGTGATTCTACTGCCTCAGCCTCCCAAATAGCTGGGATTACAGTCGCCTGCTACAAGGCCCAGCTACTTTTTTCTATTTTTAGTAGAGACAGGGTTCACCATATTGGCCAGGCTGGTCTCGAACTCCTGATCTCAGGTGATCCACCCACCTCGGCCTCTCAAAAGCGCTGGGATTAACAGGCATGAACCACTGTGCCTGGTCCATATTGTATTTTTATTAGCAGTGGGATGACATCCTTTCAAGATGGCTTGCAGAGGTGAAAGAACACTTATGTTCATTTCTAGCCCCTAATGTAAGTCCAAAGAACATTCATTTTGAAAAATTAAAAAAGTGACATAATTTTGCCCACTTGGTTTTCTCTCTTCCCCATCTTCCACTACCATGGCCTGCTGCTTCTGCTGCATTCACTTGCTGGAGGTGTGCACACTGCGGGAGCTGTCTTCACTGGCTTGGCTCTGGCTTGAAATGGAGATTACATAGAGCACATGGTCTCACAGGGTGTCTTCTGGCCCGAATCATCACCCTTTTGGGAGCAAGACCATATGGAAAGTGTTTTCCTTCTGTTTTGTGTGTATGCATGTGCATGTGAGACCATGCCAACAACATGAAGCCATATTATTATTATTATTATTTTTTATTTTTTATTTTTTGAGACGGAGTTTCACTCTTGTTACCCAGGCTGGAGTGCAATGGCGCTATCTCAGCTCACCGCAACCTCCGCCTCCCGGGTTCAGGCAATTCTCCTGCCTCAGCCTCCCGAGTAGCTGGGATTACAGGCACGCGCCACCGTGCCCAGCTAGTTTTTTGTATTTTTAGTAGAGACGGGGTTTTACCATGTTGACCGGGATGGTCTCGATCTCTCGACCTTGTGATCCACCCGGTCCGGCCTCCCAAAGTGCTGGGATTACAGGCGTGGCCACCGCGCCAGGCTATGAAGTCATATTATTAAGTGGTTTGTTAACTTGCAAATCTTGTCTCAATTGGAGAAAAAAAATGCTTTTTGGAGGTGCTGTTGAACTCATGGTGACTGAAAAGTCACACCTCAACAGCAATAGTTACACTGTGAATATAATAATAGGCTCTAACCTCCCTAAAAAAAAGTGTATGTAAATGTGGGCCTAAGCACATTTATTGCAATTTCTCACTTTGGAGTAGCAGCTCTAAAATCCTAAAGTGATTAGAGGAAAATAAGTGAAGAAAAATCTGAAGAAAGAGTTAGTGAGGGACTTTTTCATTTAGGGAAAGGGGATACAGCAGCTAGAAAGACCTTTGGTTTGTGTTAAGAACTGCCGGCCCTGCTGGCTTCCTTTTTTTCCCGTTGTTTAATTTGCTTGTGCTGATGAGTGAGGGAGAGTTAAAGAAATTTCATGGCCTCCTAACTCTTTCCTCCTGAAACCCATTTATCTAAGAGATGCCATTGATCTTTAAAAAATGTCCAACTGATTTTATGGTTTTCCTTTCTTTTCCTCTTCTGATCTCGGCACTAAAGGGTGGTGGCGTGGCTGAGAGGTTGGCATCAGAGCAGAAAAACAAAGTTCAAGGGAAACTGAAAATTGGATGATTTTCTCTGAATGAGCAAGTGCTTACTTTTTTCAGGCCTGTGACATTGCTGTTATCAAGAAACAAGTCATGAAAACCCTGAAAATGGAAAATAAAAAAAAATGGGAATGGGGTGGTGGATGGAAGTGGCACCAGGATTCGCAGACGTTTACCGAGGTGGGAAGCTTGCTGTTTTCAGCTGTGTCCCAGTTTCAGCCCCGTTTACTGCTCTCTCCATGTACCTTCCTCCATCCCTCAAGCCAGTATCCTTGGGGAGATAGTGCTTCATCTGAAATTCACAGTAAGGTGATTTTTTTTGTTGTTGTTTTTGTTTTTTTTTTTTTGAGATGGAGTCTCACTCTGTCACCCAGGCTGGAGTGCAGTGCTGTGATCTTGGCTCACTGCAACCTCCGCCTCCTAGGTTCAAGCAATCCTCCTTGCCTTAGCCTCCCGAGTAGCTGGGATTACGGGCACCCAGCACCATGCTCGGTTTATTTTTGTATTTTTAGTAAAGATGGGGGTTCACTATGTTGGCCAGGCTGGTCTTGAACTCCTGACCTCAGGTGATTGCCTGCCTTGGCCTCCCAAAGTGCTGGGATTATAGGGGTGAGCCACCATGCCTGGCCAAACAAAATCTTTTGAAGCCCCTATTACTAGCAAAAGCTATGTATTAAGCAGAGTTGATGGTAAACAGAATAAGGTCCCTGCCTTAAGGAGCCTGAAGTTAGGTGGGGATGTAGAGCATGGGTTGCAATAAGTTAGGAACTTTTCTAATCAAAAGGAACACAGTGGCCTGTGGGATACCGTGGGACACCTGGCTAGGTTCACCTGGGTAGATGCCCCCTCAGTTCATTGGCGCAGCGGGCATAAGGCATGCTTTACTTGGGTTTACGTTAAAGCTTATTCTATTAGGT